TCTATCTATCTATCTATCTATCTATCTATCTATCTATCTATCTATCTTGACAGCTCTGGTTGGCTAACTGCTGTCAAATCCCTCACAACTGGGAGGCACCACTGTTGTGCAAAATGTTTACTTACGTCAACAACTGAGTAAGAGGCAGAGCCCACTCATATCACCATCATATCAGCCTCCTTCTCTTCTCTGAGCTCATGCTGCATGGCCACAGTGTCTTGCAAGTGCACTTTGATTTCATTAGAGGAGATAAGAAAAATGCAGAAATTAGGCACAGATGACACAACGTTTTTCTGCCGCCACAGATTTCTTTCTTCCGTAAATGTTCTCTCCTCGCTCCCGTGATGATGACTTAATCCAAGCCGGATCTTTCTGTCTATTTTATGAGCCGTGCGTGCTTCTTATGTCAAGGCCAGACTTATAATGCAGGACCTACCTGCAGGAGCAGGATGTAAAAATAGCTCTCCGGTTTTAGGGATATCTCCACAGCTCTGGCCCCAGACCAACAAAAACCAGGCATCACAGACTTCAGTGCAACCTCTGCTATGTAGCTCTGATTAGCTTTCATCAACAAACAGACTAATCCCAAATCTGTCCATCCAGATGGCACAAAGTGCAGAGAGATGGCAGGAAAAGACTATAAAGAGGATGCTCGGTGAATGGATGCTGATTTTTTTCTTTGCAGTGTGGTATGATGTTTATCTAGTGATCCGACGAAGGTGAGATTAATTGTCCCTCTTTTCGTTTGTGTAAGTCATGTTACAAAATGCATAATGACACATGTTGAGCATCAACAGCACTGAGTAATAACACAGTAAGGAATTAGAAATATGAAGATAGTGGAGAACAACATTGGGTAACAAATGTTCGTGCTCTGTAGTCGTCAGCAGGAGAATAATCAACATTCAAAAATAAAAAAAAGGAAATAAACAGGAGCAGAGCATCACTTAAATCAAATAGGTTTTTCCCAGATGTTTTGAGCTGATGTTCATCCTCAGCATAGAAACTGGGAGCAGTGTAAGACCAGAAAAGATAAAACACAAAAAACCCTGAAACACAATTGACAGACAGGGGAATGTGTTCCAGGCTGTACAGCATGAATACTGAGAGGTTACATGAACAGAGCATGTGCAGATGCTCCCATGCAAGTGGGAGGCATTTAGTTGTTTTGGTCTCCTTAGAGGGAAAGCTCAGTACAAGTAGATACAGTTATTGTGAGTCATTATCATCATCCTACAATGAAAAATGAAATCTCGCTACCCTAATGCTACAGCAACAGATGTGTGCTGTAGATCCATCTGCCCATTACCTGTTTCATTGTGTTCTGGGTCAGAGGCAGGCCTGAATGAGTCCTCTGTCCATCACCAGACTAACGCAGAGACAGACAGCTATGTACACCCACACCCCCGGAACAGAACATAATAGGCATGTCTCTGAGAGAAGATGCAAACTCTACCCATAAAGGGGTTCCAGCTCCTTGTCATGTGGCAACTGCGCCTACCATTGCATCACCAAACATCAACATACCAGAAACAATGTTGACATTTCTTCCCTAAATGCACACCTCTGCCTCTGGGGATGGCCTCACATTTTGTACCCAGTGTTTTCAATTTACAAAACTTGGAAACTTGGAAAAGTGGCATTATCCCCCTCAAAGTCTCAGTGTTAAGAAAATATAAATCCGACCTAATTCTTTTATTTACCAAAAAGCTTTACCAAAGGCAAGAAGAGAGTGGAAAGAGAGCTCTGTATCCAACATTTTCATGTCACGATGACACAGTATGTGAACCTGAAGTGCTGACAATGAAAAAATTACTCAGATGTCTTTGACAGAAGGAGCAACATTTTGGATGACCACTCAGACTGCTCCCTGCCTCTCATATGATGGCAGGTGAGCTCTTAAAGAAGCCTCTCTGTGGATCTTTCCCCTTCTGTTTTGGAAGACTTCGATTCTCGAAGCAAACATTCCTCAGATTTTGTGCATTTACTGCAGACTTAGATATTCCACACACTAGTGATTTGTTCTCCTCACAAATTGGGTAGTGTAAAAAACGATCATGGAGCTCTGAGAGAGATAAATCCAACATCACGAGCAGATGGGTCCTCAGAGAGCTCAGCTCTCCCTCATCAGGCAGTCAAAGATGAGCACGGATGGTCTCTCCGCACTCAGATTAAACGCCAGAGCCATCAAATCATTTCTCATGTCTTTCCGTGGACGGAACATAATGACATTTGCTCTCCCATATGCAATGGTGTTCCTCAAAATAAGTGGGAAGATAAATATGGTGCAAGTTACATTTCCTGAATTACACAACAGAGTGCTGTATTAAACATGCTGTGAAATTAGTTTAAAATTGGTTTAATTTCCTTACAGTCAACTTCTGCTTTGATTATCATAAAGTGATTACGACACGGAATATCAGCATGTTTAAACGATGTCTGCTGGAAGTGTGTGACAGCTCCCTGCCTTCTTAATCATGTTCCCTCTCAGCTGGACAGGACGGAGGTCATCAAGAGCAATTTGCATCCACTCTTTGGGAAGGTTTTCTCTCTGGATTACTACTTTGAGGAGGTGCAGAAGCTGCGGTTTGAAGTCTACGACATCCATGGCACCCACAGCATCGGGACCCGAGATGATGACTTTCTGGGAGGCATGGAGTGCACACTTGGCCAGGTGGGAGTACGCTACCGTGAATCTAGAACATCACGTTTTTAGTTCTTAACAATATTTCTTCATGTTGGGCTTGATTTAAAATCTTTCACATTTGTTTGACAATCCACTATCTGCTGTACAAAGATGCATCACAAGGGTCTTAATATGTGTTTGTGGCCAAGCGAACACTCTCAAAACATGAAAGGTGGAGATGTAAGACGTCAATGTGCAAAAGACTTTAGTCTTTTGTAAGTTTTTAGAGTTTTTAGAGTGAAAATGAAATATTTTGCACCTATATTAATGTTCGCATTTCATGCTTTTTCATAAGACTGTTGTAGAAAAAAATCTATAGGCTTTTCTTTGACTGCGTTGTTGGAAATAAAGCACCTGATGCTGCGAATTTGCCGCTCAGTGGCAGAGTAAGTGATTGATAATTGTCTGTACTGTTGATGACTCAGATCCCCGTGGCCTTCAGGGGGCTTAAAACCCGCTTTTTCCAGCCTATCTTCTTCTTCGCAGATTGTGGCGCAAAAGAAGATGTTGAAGCCTTTGTTGCTGAAATACGGAAAATATGCGGGCAAATCCACCATCACGGTAAGTTCTTTTTTCAGTGTGTCAGTCCAGTCAAATTTGGATTGAGCTGACCACAGAACAGCTTTCCCTTGGTTCATTTCAAATGAAAAACATCACTCCTTTTTTCACAAGCGGACACAGAAATGCCTGTGACACGCGAAGGTCAAAGCAACACATCAATTCAAAAGCCTATTCAGGACGGCCATGTTAGGTCAAGGAGTGACTCTTCCTCACACCTCTCTTCCTCAGGGTCAGCCAGAATATAGTAGCTATTGTCAGTAAATAACACCATTGACAACGTATGCTGTCATTCCTCTCTTCCTTATCTCTAGACTCCATGCAGCAACATAACTTAGTGTTTTGTGCAACTATTGTAGTTGCTAACCATAAAAGCTTTTGTTTATTTGGGCAATATTTCACTCATGTTTGTTTTTGTTCAACGACTACCAGTGCCGTGCTGATAATGTCTCTGATGACAAATGAAGAAGGGCAAGGAGTTTTCATAGATCAGTTAATTAACTCTATAACTAACCGTGAGATTTGTTATTACTAGCGAAGCAAAAAGCAAGAGCAAAATTATTCTCAATTTGACTTCATTATCAGCAAATTAAGCACAATCTGAATTTAAATTTAGGTGGAGACACAAACGGAGAAAGCTGGGTAACCTTGCAGAGAGCAATGTTTTTCTCTGGGTTTCTGAGTTGGTGGCTTCTTTAATCATTCATGTACGCAGTATATGTTTTTGTCAATATAAGAGAACGGTGGCATTTCTCTATCATGTTCCTGTGTAGCTTTACATATTTGAGGATAATGCCTGTTTTTAATGCAATTCTACCTGAGAGTACTTTAGACAACGAACTTGTCTCCAATCTCCAAAAAGAATGGTCTGAAATGATAAATAGAAGGCACAACAGTATTTTTAGCAGTTAGGTGAAACTCTTTACATGTTTGCTGTTGAGAGACTCCGTCTCTTTAATCTGCTCTTTTCACGCCCACTCATGTTACAGTTGACAGTGCACAGTCTTTTGTTGTCCCTGTACCAACTTTTTCAAGTCATCATTGCAGCATTGCATAGAGTTCATGACAAGCTGAAATTTCCGTGAAATAATTGGACGTTTCAATATCAGCATTTAATATGTTTTTTATTTGATATGAATTGCAAATCAATTAACGCTGTTTTCATTTATTTCATTTCATAGATGTGAGACCGTGTCTCACCCATTTCAGTCATTTGAGTTGTGCAGAGCCACCCTCTTGAGCAAACAACTACACACAGCAAGAAAATCCATACAAAATCATAAATATACATGGCGCCATGTCTCAGATGTGGAAGACAGGGACTGCTGCTTCATTAACAACCTTCTCAGACATATGAAAATATGACAAGCTTAATAATACACTCTGCTGTACTCTGCCTTGTTTGGAAATACATTCTAAACCTCAACTTTTGAATTAATTGTAAATAAGATGCAAAACAACAAGCTCCCCAACTTTAAATTAAATAATCTCAATCAGCGTATGTCTTTGCGTGGAAACAGACTTTTATTTAGACTTGAGCCAGTTCCAAAGACCACTCAATGCATTTGAAGTAAAAGAGAAAATCCACAAGGGATTTTCAGATCATTTAATCTAAACAAATAGATACTGTACAATTCAGCAGTGACCACTCTACCTGCATTTTTTATCTACCTTTATGTAGTGCACCATGAGCACATCCTCTCAGAGTCTGGCTCTCTTCACTGAATTGGACCTTCACTTCTCTTTTGTTGTTCCTCACAATCCTGCTTTTTGCATGTTCAAGACTACTTGTGCGTGCCTCCGGATTTTTTTAATGAGAGTTTTGAGTTGTTGTCTTCCATTGCACAAGCATCCGGATAACTAAATTTCCTTCGGGACAAAAAAAATGTAAAAAGTAGAAGGCATCTGTCTGGATAAAGCACCATATGATGGATAATGTATAATTGCTGGGTGCATTTGACAATACAAAAAGGCAATGTAGCTGATATAAAAACAAAGATCGTTTGTTTTATGCTATTAATTTGAATTTCCCCCATGGGGATGAATAAAGTATTCTCTATTCTGTTTAGTGGTTTTGTAACCGCAATTAGATTATATCAATGTCTGTTTTTTTAATGAATCTATCCCTAAAAGAGCAAATAACTCACTTGAGGGAGATGTTAAAAAAAAGTGAGAATTTTAAGGTTAAGGCGGGTTCTTAGGCATCTGAGTCAGTTTGGGATAATCACATCTGACAGGTGATTTATCGTGTCTGAAAATAGGGGAGTCGAAGCCTGTGGGAGCATCATCTTCCACTCACACCACCAACTGGGATACACGTTAGAGTAGCAGATTTCTGTTTTGCTAAAATGCATTTTTTAAAATTAGATGTCTACTTCCCAAATCCCTACGCATGGCTGCATGACTGCAAACACTTAAAACCCCACAATGTTGCCAAAACTATATTTCAGAATTAACACAAAAAAAACCCTGAAAAAACCATATACTTTAAAATGTTTTCTTAAGGATTATTAGGAAACGCAACTGAAAAACTGTCACGCTCTCAAATTTAGTTAAGAGTTCTGTCAATATATGTTTTTTAAACAGTTGTGTTTTCATAGATCATATAATTGGTTAACTGCCGAAATTCAGCTTTCTACTGAAGGTCGAATTTTGTGTGTTAAGATTTCTGACTCCCAGTGTTTCCATTTGGATCATTTTGAGCTGACTGGGTCCAAGATCTGAATGAGTCAATAATATTGACAGCTCATGCTTTGTAAATAAATACCTGGCACAGAGGACTCAACAAAATAGGAGAAAATCAACACCATGTAGCCAAACAATTAACTAAATTTAATGAAAAACGATCAGTAAACAACAAACAAGACAATCGCACAAAAAACGAATGAACGAATGACTGGTTTGGACTTTTTTTTCAAGTTTATCGGCTCTTTTCTTGAATTTGATGGATATTGTAGTGGTTTCTGATTTATACTGAGTGATGTATTAGATTTATGTAATGCCACATGCATGTTTGATCCATACAGTTTCTGAAATGTTTTGCATTTGAGATAGTATAAATGATTACAACAGCAGCATTACATGATGTAATGGTAAAAAGTATGCTCAAAACAATGTTCTACACAATCAGATAAATCTTTAAATATTCAACAATTATTTCAGTTGATTTTTTTCATACTTTTAAAAGGGGCTTCTAAATTCTCTCAAGTTTTTTTCTTGATCAGACTTAAAAGGTTTTGTTCTTTTGTGAAACCTGTCTGTCTGTTTTCGTACTTTCTGAAATGTTTTTGTGTGTTGGGTTATTTTGTGTTCTTCGTGAATATTTCTGTGTTGGCTGCTTTTGTCTTTCACACCACAGGAGCGCCATTTCTGCTATGGCTTCTGCCATTATCCCATTTAAAATCTTGCATCTGACTGCATTCTTTGACAGTATAAATCACTGGCGTCTGCCCTCAGATTTAAGTGAGACATTGTTATGACAAATATTCATGCTTATTTCAGCTGTCTTTAAGCACTTTATTCCTCCGAAAGAGAGAGAGATGTGCCAGCACCCCTGCCGCTAGATGTGTTGATAGGAATAAGTGGACTTTCTTGAACAAAATATGTAAAACTCATATTTCATGCTCTGTGGATGGACAAGGATGCACCTTGTTTTTCGGCCGATGACAAAGGGGGAGGGCTCCAGGTTTAAGCCCGTATGGAATATTCAGTCACTTTCTGTCTCAAAAAATGCAAATATCCCTTTAACTAACACTGCTTTCCTCACCTTACAGTGAAAACCTCTGTTAAGACAAGCCACAGCCGAATCCCAGCCCTTATCGCAAACACAGGCTGAACCTCATTTAAAATGCCACAGTTTCAAATATCAGTCCCAACAAGGATAGAAATTTTGTCAGGATTCAAACTTTTACAAAGACTTTCACCATCTCATAATACCTGTCGTGGCAAGCTGTCTGATAAAAGGAAAAGTTTCCAGCTCTGCTCCCCGCTGCCAGGCTTGGTCTGGCCGTGGTCACACACAGCTGCAGAGCCGGCGGTTTGATGTCAGCTTTCCATCCGTCGACCAGAACGAGCCGCACAGAGAACGCGCTTTGTGTGAGCTTAAAAGCTGCATCCTGAACTTTTTCTGCCCAACAAACAAAGCAGGAACAACCCAGACACTGTTACACAACTTTAGGGTGGTGTCTTTGCCATGTAGAAAAAGTTAAATAGTGTTGGGGGGTGGTCTCCAGTTTCCAGCTAATGGCTCTCTCCCCCGTTTGGTTTTATGTGTCCGATTAACCTGTGCTAAGTAAAAGCCTCTTCATAAATATGACTGCTCAGCAGCGTTCAAAAGTAGGGGTTACTTTCACCAACAAATTGATCACATTATGTGTGCGTGTGTTTTGGAAAAAAAAAAGCAATCCTGGTGGGCAGGTGCATCAGAGGTGTAAAAGGTAATACTGAGGAGCTTTTAGTCTGGTTCAACCAGAAGAAGTAAGATCTCAGTGAACTGCAGTTTGGTAGAATAAATAAGGTTTTAAATCCTAGTTGGTAATTTGATTTGCACTCCTCCTAGATTGTATTTTATAGATTTCTTTTACATTCAGAACTGCCAGCCATTATGGACCACATTTGGTAACTGTGAGCTCTTATCTAAAAAGCATTCCACTTTTCCGTCCATTCATCTGCGCTTTTAAACCAAAAGGAAGGAGGTGCATCATCAGGCAGTGGCTCTGTTAAACTTTATGAAATATGTATAAAAGATTTTTAAATAAGTATTGTAATTTATCATACGAATTTTAAGATGATACCTTATAGTTTCTACAATTCTTTGTTCCTCAACAATTGGCCTAATTTTCAGTCAATTTTTTTTTACTACGGCACGTGTTTTTTAAAGATATAAACAAGTTAATCCCCTGTTTAAACATCATGTTATAGAACTAATAGGCTTAATCACAGATTAATACCAACATATTACTCACAAATCCCATTTCTTTCCAGGTCCACGCTGAGGAGATTTCTGGAAATAATGGATATGTGGAGCTTTCCTTTTGTGCCAAGAAGCTTGATGATAAGGTGAGATGAGCCATAGTTGTTTAACTACATGCTGCTTAATTGCAGAAGACATCTAAATGAGATGCAGTGATATGTCAATCAATATGTCATGCTGTGGCATATCTTTGAATAACACCCCCAGTACTTATATCATACTTCATCCACAAAATGCCTTCTTTTTTTTCCCACTGAGCCTATATCGATGTAGGGACTGAAAATAGCACAGTGATAGGCCATAATTGTGCATTTGTAAACATAGGGATCTTACATGTAAATTACTTTGCAACAGAGCAAATATCAAAACGGAAATAAATGTAACTCCGACTACTGTAAGGCAGGGTTTAAGTGACCTCAGCTGCTCCTGCTCTCACATGTTCAAACTTTGCCGAGGGCTTATTTCAATCAAAAAGACAGCGGGAGCTTACATCCACTTACAATTCTGATGATCTAAAGTCACACCATGTTCTCAGGAACAAGCCTCGGGAGTCCAGACTCGTGGCTTGACCTTGATTCCTCACGGTATCGACAGAATGCGTACTTAGCTTTGAAACTGCTGTTTGAAATTTACAGCAACTCTGCCAGCAAAACTGAACCTAACGCATACACGAGGGCAATGATAAATCAAATGTCTAAATAAAAATCTCCCTTATGAAATCCATCTTTTTCCGCCATTACTGAGAATGTTCAGGCTTCTGCTGGAAATGTTGAGATTCGGTTTAATTCCACGACAATCTACCCGCTGGCTTTGACTGAACTAACTGCTAGTGAAGTTTCTGCCTTAAATCCCTAAATTGGTGTGATGCCATTGGGAGATGCACAGGTTTTTACATTTTTTTCTGCGATTTGCAAAATACGCTAAAACATTGGGAAACTGAGGTTCTAGTTGTGAACATCTTACTTGAAACAACAGTCAAATATGTTTGCAGCTGTCTGTTGTCACCATGTGAGTTATTAGAATAGCAATTTGCTGCGTTTCTTTTGCTCTTTTTTTAGAATGAGATTTAGACTAGTTATTTTTGTTTGGATTGTTGTTGTTTCTGGCATTATATCTTATATGGGGAATTATTCAGTTTTTATAAGTCTTTGAAAGTTTTTTGGGGTCAATTTTGCTGAATGTGTTTTATTCATTTTTGGTCTTTTTAGTCTTTTTTTGTATTTTGTCTGACCTTGTTGTTTGATTGTGTTTGTTTTTCGAGAATTTTCTTGTGCTTGTACTGCCCTAGGTTTTAGTTGTCATTCATGGTTTACTTTGGGTGAGTTGGTGCTATTTAGTTTCTTGTTCCATATTTTCAGCAGTAGTTAGGTAGCAGGGTTAGGGTTCAAGGTTTCATTGTCGTCCTCTTAGTGTTTGTCCTATAATACATAAATTCTCCAATGTAAAAATAAAATATAACAGTATTTAATTGGCAAATCTCAATAGATAACCATGAACATTTTTACATTAACAAGGGGTTTGACTGTGAAATATAATGTGTTGTGGTGTCTGGTAATGATTAGCGTAACTGTCATTATTAGCCAGGGATTAAATGTCGACATGTATGCCTCATCAGTTCATGGAACTGATGCCGCTGGCTAGTGGTTGCCATGGTAACAGAGAGGATGCTAAAGCTCTTTATCATTTTTTTCATCCCGTCAGAGACCTATCTAGCTAATGTGGCGGGAGATGCATCCTTAGCTGTCTCATCTCCTGTACACAAAACCCCCTCACCCACCCAAGCATCGCAATCACACACGAACACAATAGTAATTATTTGTTTTTTCCCTGAAGAATCAATTGACCTAAATAATCAGTGAAGCCTCTGCTCTCTGACGTCTGTACTTAAGGCTACCATAAATAATCACAGAGGATGAAGAAAGTTTTTCATTTAATTGAAATGGACATTGCCACATTGTCATTTTGACTGAAACCTCACCCAACACAAAATTGTAACATTAGTAGAAAAAAGAAACTATAAAACTCTTTCAAGGCCAGTTGAAATAATTTAAAAGTTTAAATTATTTCTGTTTGTATGATTCAGGTATAATATGATAACATGGTGATTACTATGATATACCTGCTAAATATTATTAAAGACATTAATCATGCTTTGCCTTAATGCTTGGCTGGATTAAAAGATTTCTTTTCTATGCATCTGCAGGATCTCTTCAGCAAGTCAGACCCTTTTTTGGAAATATTTCGAATCAATGACGATGAAACTGAACAGCTTGTCCACAGAACAGAGGTGGCGTCACCACATTTCGTCTCCAGCACATTTATATGTTTCTTAGCCTTTTTGGCCTCCTATGTAATATGCTCCAAATCCAACAGGTGATTAAAAACAACCTGAATCCAGTGTGGGAGCCTTTCAAAGTGTCACTCATGTCTTTGTGCAGCTGCAACGAAGAGCGAAAGCTCAAGGTAGGAGATGTTTGACGGCTGCCCACAACAGTGCGATCCATATGAGGAATCAATGTCTTCACACATTGGGAATATGCGATGTGTACACAGCCGCAGGAATAAGCAGCTCCGTCTGTGTGATTCACAGTGCCTAGTGTGGGATTATGACTCCAGGGGGAAACATGATTTCATCGGCGAGTTCTTTGCCACTTTCAGGGAAATGCAGAAAATTTCCAGTGGAAATAAGGTCAGTGAATTTCAAGGCAGAACAAAACGGAGGAGAGGCGGCTGTGTAAGTGCTCCAGCAATTTCCAGTATGCCTCTCAGTACATTTTTTTGCTGATGTCAATGTGACATGAAAACAAATGCTTTTGAAGATGGTGTGAGGTGTTGCCTCTGTGTTTAATCTCTCGCTTGTTTTGCTCAAGGTGTCGTGGGACTGTGTGAATCCCAAGTACAAAGTGAAGAAGAGAAACTATAAAAACTCAGGAGTTGTCATTCTCACTGACCTCAAGGTAGGAATCTACTGCACGGACATGTCTGAGAGAAGCTGAATCTGTCTGTAAATGTTCAAAGACAGATTCTTTCATCTCTGGACTATAATTGCTTCACCGTACACCTGGCGCTGTCTTGATGAAGTAGTGGTCATTGGTCAGAAATGCTTGTTTGTCTACACTTCCTCCCCTTTTCCAAGAGACATCAAAACCTATTCTGTACCACCGCTAGATTTCTTGGTTTATTTCCATTTTAATGACCAGATGCTTCTGTGAGCCTAGCTGAGCATTTGCTCACAGATCTAAGCATCCCTTCTGATATTTTGCCTGGAAGATTTTTTTTTTCTCTGCAGCTCCACAGAGTATACTCCTTCTTAGATTACATCATGGGAGGATGCCAAATTCACTTTACGGTAAGACTGAGCAGATTGTATTCAGTGTGACGCTCCACTATCCCTGAATCCTTCGGACTGCGTTGGTTACAAGATGCTAGAGTTACCTAATAGTTCTACACATGATCTATTTTCTCATTTTCTTTTACAAACACTGCTTTTTAATGTCTCCTCCTCAGGTTAAATAATTTCATTTCTTACCAATGTTTTGTGTTTGAGTACATTGTTAGTTCTCTTGATGTGTGCAGTATGAGGCAAACAGAAGTTTTCTTTGACCTGTGCCCTTTGGTGTGCCCTCTGTAGTATTAATTCTCTGTCTCCCGGTGGACTACGGAGATGATGAATAATTATAAAGAGAGTTACCGTGATATATGTATCACCTCCATGTATCTACACGGTGTGGAAGTCATAGCTTCTTAGTCTACGTGGGTGTAAAAAGCTGCACATTCTTACCTTTGATCAGATGTTTATTCATATTTATTCAGCGATTGGAAGTTTCAACTCGCTCATAATCTTTTTTTTATGTGATAAACAAGTACGTATTTGCGGGAAGTTCAGTAGCAACATAAAGACTTGGTTTTGTCACTTTTTGTGTTACACTCTCTCTTTTCTTTCTATCAGGTTGCCATTGACTTCACAGCCTCCAATGGAGACCCCAGGAACAGCTGCTCTTTGCATTATATCAACCCATACCAGCCCAACGAGTACCTAAAGGCTCTGATAGCAGTGGGAGAGATCTGTCAAGACTATGACAGGTTTGTCAGTCCGATGTTTCTCAGAAAAGGTTTATTTAGAGCTTGCAGCGAATATCAGGGTCTCCTGTTTCCAAGCAGAACTGCAAAGTGCTCCTCATGAGCCATTTTCATGGACTCTCTGATGCTGAAACAAGCCACTCCATCTAAACCAAAGCACCAGGACTGTAATGGACATTACACAGCACAGATACAAAGTCCTGCTAGTTATTACATTTGTGCTCACCAGTTTGCTACACAGCCAGTGGAAGTGAGCTTCTAACCACCAGCTCCCTCGTCTCACATTTGTTCTTCTCAAAAATGTATCTAGCATTTAACAGTCCCTGTCAACGTTTGATGTCATACCTGAAATAAAAGCCCTATATAGAGCTCTGATGTAAGACCCGAGTTCTATCCCCCCTCAAGCGGACAACTTACTTCAGTCTGTTAAACCTCTGGTTAAAAAAGCATTTGAAAATTAGACAACAAAACTTTTGGCATCTCCTGGAATTAATCATCATACACAAAATGTTAACATGATAATGATGGCAGCTGGTTGGAGGAATTTGGAACACTGACCGTTTTTTCTGGATCAAGTCCTTTGTGGTTTCTTTGTAAAGTTCCAACATGCTGTCTATCGTTAGATAATTTAAGTGCTGATCTTTGTAATTTATTAACCATCAGTGTTTAAATATCTGGTCAACATTTCTGATTTCTAATCATCCTTACCAGTTATTAGAATTAGGCAAATACAACCTCAGGTGACCAACATAACCTACTACATTATAACATTTGAAAGGTTAGCATACATTAAATCAAAATGCGAAAGCAGTTTGTGTGAATTAAGTACACCCATCCTGCTTCCTGTAATTAAGTGAGTAAGTAACATCTGAGCACTGTTAATGAAATGCGGCGGATGGATTGATTATCAGCATGTGGGAGCACTTTTATGAAAGCTAAAGTTTTGCCAATTTTGTGTGTGTGGAGAATTAAAGAGAGCTGTAACACCATGCTAATTAAGAAAGGTATCAGCAGTGATTTTAGATATGCAATCCATCAATCTAATGACGATCATAAGGTAATTTACAAAGTTATTAGGAGTCCATCATTTTTCACAGCGAAGTGATAAATATTTAAGACAGTTGCCAAGCTCCCCAGAGTAAACATCCCAGCAGAGCCATACCAAGGTCAGACTTTACAATACTCAGAGAACTTGAAAACATAGTGAAAGCATCATCTTAGATTCCACTGGCCTCAGTTAGCATCCATCCATCCATCCATTTTCTGAACCACTTATTCCCAAATGGGGTCGCGGGGGGGACTGGAGCCTATCCCAGGAGTCAATGGGAGAGAGGCAGGGTACACCCTGGACGGTCCATCACAGGGCCACCTCAGTTAACATGGTAAATCTTAAAGTTCATGACAGTTCAGTTAGAGAAAGATTTAACAAGAATGGCTTGTTTGGAGGGTTGAAGAAGAAAACTTCTTCGTTCTAAAAAGAGCAAAGCATCATGGTTCAAATTCTGTCACAATAAACTCATCACACCAGCACAAAAATATCACAGTCACCTTCAAGCATGGTGGTGAATGGCTAATGATCTGAGTTTGTTCAGGAGCCTGTGCATTTTGCTGTGAGGAATTCACAATATTCACATTATAAAACAATGCATAAAATCTTAGAACCGAAACAGAGTGTACTTTTCACAACTGTACATTTTCCTTCTGTCCTTCCATTTAATATGAATTGTATGATTGCATTGTGTTCAAACTCTCAAAATATTGTGTTGCTAAATCTAATTTGAAAACCTAAGGTACCACTAAAATTGGCAGCAGTACATCAGCAGATGCTGGTAACACTATTGTTTACGCTTGCTCTCTTTTTATTAGAATAAAAACGTTCAGGTTTACAGGTTTCTATATCCCCTGAGCTAACAGTTGAGCAAGCAGGCAAAGTGCACCGCATTGTGATTTTTACAGTATTTGCTTTGTTGTTGTGGCAGCTTGTGTTCCCAGCTGATGCACTTACAGGTGTTAACCTTACTTAAAATGTGCTACTGTCTGTAATATTACCGATTTGAATTTGTGCCAATAGATTTTTTTCTTCTTGGTTTCAAAAGGATCCCTACTCTGAACTACAGATGAGTGTATGCAGAGATAGGGACTGAGATATGGGTATATGTGGCACTTAAAATAGAAGTAGGCACACACAGCAGGGCGCTGATAGGATGTAAAGAGAGCAGAGGTGCTGCATTAGGCCTGACATGTTTGCAGATGAGAGGTTTTGTCACTGTAAATGTAACCACTGGCTGACACAGCTGGCTTTGTAACTGGGAGCAAAAGTAAAAAAATATTCAAACATTTATTCTGGGTAAACTTGTAGAGACTACTTGCCGTAAAACAACTAACTTTCCAGCTCCTGGTCTGTGCTGATCCTCCTAAGTGGGCGCAGTCTTGCTGATAATAGCATCTAAGAGACAGCAAAGAAAACATGCCTGAAAATGAGCAGCTTGTAACGAATTCAACTTTTTCCTGTTTGCATGTTTTAGAAACAGGAACACGTCATACATACTCTGAGCAAAAAATGAAAGCAAGTGTAGGCAGCCCTTCCCTCTTACCTTGGAATTATCACTGGGTTGTCAAGCGTGGGAAAAGCAGACCTTTTAGCCTTTAGTGAATATAGGTGATGTGGGATTTTTGAGTCTTTGCAGAGGATTACATTAGAGTGACTGTTTTTTGTATGTGTGGGTAGAGACTCGTTTACCTAGCGTAGAGGGCAGCTACACTGGACACATCTCCCTGTGGCTCCTAACTCTTTCAGTCAATGTAAGACTTGCAGTGAAATCCATTCTCTTGACAGCAGAATTCATAGTGAAAATGAAACATTGGTGGTCTTGTTCTCTCTCATGTAGGATGTGGGGATATGTCACATTTGATATATTTTCTATATTTCTATTTTAAACCGATAATCTTTAACAGAGAAAATTTTGCATTAAGTTCTTATTATTTTCATTAAGTAAAAATGTATAATCTGTCAGGCCAAGCTGGCTACATTGCAATAATGACTTCCCCGGTCAACTTAATGCATTCTCATTTAGACTATGTAGGCTATTCATATTTGCCAAGGTAATAAAACTATAAACAAAGCACTAATTAGTTTTTGCTAGTTGCTTTGATGTAACCTTCCTCAATGTGGCTATAACAGTGGAGGTAAAGGCCTTCAATGGGTCTTTGTGTCTCTGTGTGTGTGATTTGGATGAAAAATGACAAAACTCAATGGAAATCTATTTGATGCAATTAACACTTCAGTATATTTGTGTGTGGACAAAACACCATGTTAGGAAGAAAGGAAAAAACAGGCTCTTTCAGAGAATACATAAAATACAAAGTCAAAATGCCTCTCCCATAAACAAGTGGTGCCTTTCTAACTGAGCTAAAATTCTACATAAGCTACATTGCCTAGACTAAGATAGAATATACATAAATGTGTGTGTGTGTGTGTGTGTGTGTGTGTGTGTGTGTGGTGTGTGTGTATATGCATTGATAAATCAAACACTTCTGACAGCTCAGAGAAGCTGCCTCAAACCAATTTCATCCACTCGAAGCACACAAACAGTTCTCCAGTTACCACTTGTCAACACACCCAATAACTCAATACCTCCTTAAACCATAAAATTCACTCTGTACCCTTTGAAATCCTCACATCACAACCACACCAATCAAATAAAAGATACAATTTCAAAAGTTTGAGCCCCAAACTATAATTTCTCCATGCTGGTGATGCTATTTATGATTACACTGAGCTGGGGAATTAGGGAGCCTTTGTTAGTTACAGAGACATAACGTACAGTAGATTTAGTGATAACAGCTAGAGAGAACTGTCTGTAGGCAAACAGTCACAGATATGAGAGGAAGCAAGTTGTGACAGCTCTGCTCTTTATCCAAATGCCACTGGTCCAACCATATTACAGTATACACTAATTAAACCAAATATGCAGTCCATCAAACAACTTTTGAGACAATATCTTTTGGACAGATGAGAGCAAAGTGTGAATGTGTGATCACAATTAACAGCATCTTCTTTAATAAAAACCTGTGAACGGTGATAACTTGGTCTTCTTTTACAGATGCAAGACCAACTCAGTCATATGCCACACTTTTAAAATATTTCTTTTGTAGTAAAGTTTCTGACACATTTTGAATGCAGCAAAGATTGATTTCTTGCTAAATTGTAAGAATTATTGTGGGTTAATAATCCAATAATTTTGACATATCCTCAATTGTAGTAAAACGTGTTGTGTGCTGGTCTGGATGTTCGTTGGTGCTTCCTTTGCACGAACTTACCAATAGTTCATTCTTTGTGTTGAGATAAGTCTAAATGTTCTTACTTGTACTGTGGTGAAAGGTGTGCACAGGTAACGATCAGCATTTTTATTCAATTACATCAGATTTGAATGGCTCTTTGAATTACAGACGTAAATCTCATAGACAAAATGGTTGAGAGATTATTTAAAGTGCTGTTTATCAGAAATGGGAGTGAATGCAAGAGTAGTGTTAATTATACAAAGCTGTGTGAATTGGCCTTCCACTGAGCGGCTACCAATGAAGCATAACAATCTTTTGCAGTCATATCTGCCCATCAACATGAAACAATAAAAAACTGAGATGAAAGCCTGGGAGTCGCTCTGTGAACAGGTGCAAACGCTGGCTGCAGGGACTGTGGAACAGATTTCAAACCATTATTCAAGCTTTTAACATGTTATGAAATGCAAACAAGCCAGAGGTGTGCCCTTGGAAATGTGAGCAGATGGATAAGCCATCAAAAATGCTCTGGCCGCAGTCAGTCGGATTTATTACTGATTATTATGCTTCTACTTACAGTGACAAACGCTTTTCAGCTTTGGGGTTTGGTGCCAGAATCCCTCCAAATTATGAGGTGAGTCGATCCGGTCAGATGTTTTAACCCTCTCTTTTTCATATTCATTCAAAACACTGCGCCCCTCCAAACACGAACAATATATTAGCATATTCTGATTATTTGTGCACTCTCATTGAGGCTTGGCATTTCCCAGTACCCCGGGACTGTATGTTAAGCACGGAGATTTCCATGACCTGCTTTATGACACAATTTGTCATTCTGTCAAAATTTCACATTTAAAATGAATTATAGAGTCTGTTTTTTTTATGCATAAACCTCTCAAATCTTAAATATCAACTTGTTTTGCGAAATATCGTGTTCTGCGGATAGGGTTCCCATGCTCTATTTACATAAGAGTTCACAGGTTTGTTTAAGCAAATTGGACTCTGAGAACTGAAAGTGACAGTGATTCTTGATAGCACCCTGAGGTGAAGTCTGAGATGTGGGCTTTGACTCTGTGTGACCAGATACCCGCCCACTTAGATGAAATGTATCAACTGTTAAAGTAAAATTGCAATGTGTCGCGTGCCATTCACACACATCGTTATTTAACATTTCAATCATGCAAAGATTTGCCGTTTAGCAAAAAACAAGCCAGTCATTTCTGGATTTATTTTGGGAGACTGCCTGGTAGGAAGGAAATTAATGTGACTGTGTGCTGTTGACACGTTGTCGCTTGAGATGTGTTAAATGTTAATTAAGTCGTTACACTGCTCATGAAATGCTTTATGAACTTGAAGGCAGGAGGGTTCATTTGCACCAGGTGTGCAGAGTTGATGGAATAGGACTCCTCCTGGTTTCTCCAGAGAAAACCAAAAGTTGAGGATTTGCATTTGAAAGGAAATACAAGAAAGCTACTTGTCTGAATGCAGCACATGGGCCTTTTTTGTGTGTTTGAATCTAAAGCCTCCTTTGTTTCTAACCTTTTCCTTCATGACACTAGTCAAAAGCAACATTTTGGTAAGAAACATTTACCCTCATAAATGTTTAAAACATTTGTTTCTTAGGGGTTTCCTCTTCTTCAGTTTCAGATTGCTTCTTGTGCAAGCAAAAGTCTAAAACCCCATAAAGCTCACAGTCTACACCAGAATGGAGATGTCATCTCTTTCTGTCCCCGATCTGTCTGATATGGTTAATAAAAAAAATTATTTAAGCTTTTTTCCCCCCAAGCTCAAATCTGGTGCAGTTGGGAAAGCGATGAAATATATTCTGTAGCCAAACATTATTTTGAGTGGAATTACATCCCATTTCCCCTACAAATACATTTGTAACACTGAGTAACACTAAGCCTAATTTTCAAACCATCATTAAGCCTGGCTTTCAAACATGGTGCAGATAACACTATGTGATTCTTTTTATTTTAGTTGTTACTGTCCTTTTCTTTTAAACAGCTGTTCAATACTGATGAGTCTGAAAATTCATGGGTTCATGATTAATACATTCAGCTGGTCACTGATAGATCTATGATTATTCTAACTGCTGTTAGATTAATCTGAAGATGTAAGCTGTTTGAAGTGATATACATATATATATATATTCTTATAAATATATACATTATTTTTTCTGATTATACATACAAACACAAGCAGTTTAAACTGTCCAGTGTAAGGGTGTACATTACCGTTGGAACTTTGGCACATAATGGGACATTAAAAGACACACAGGTACGTCTAAAGTATGATCAATATCTCTCACAAGTGATGTGGTTAAAAATCACTGGGTTTAATGTACGTACTGACTGACTGGCATGTCTCACAGAGATATACAGAAATGGAAAATTTGATTCGTTTCACCTGTTTCTGCTGCTGCAATGCAAGCATTCATCAGAGGGTCCACTGTAACAGATGTTAAATTAATATGTTTTTTGTGCCGTGGACCAGTGGAGATACTGAAATGTTGTCACAGTGTTTAATTTATTCATGGTTTCTCACGTCTTTAAGTTACTTTAAAAAGCATCTTGCCAGAAAGGATTTAATTGTCTCTGATATGGCTGACAGTTGGCGCTTGAACAGTTCTTTTTCTTTGCAGGAAAGAGTCAAGTAGGTTGTCCAATTAAACAACTCTGATATCAAATCTAACTGATGTCTGGATAAAGAGAAAAGACTAAATAATGGAAAATGATGTAATTCCTTTGCAGAAGTTGTGGAATCTTAGCATGAACTGCGTGCCATTTTCGAAGAAACATACATTGGACAATACATCAGTATTAAAAGATTATTACATTCTCGGTCTCAAATAGTTCTGTCTGGATTTACCTTTTATGAATCAACAAAGTACGTCTGATAGTCACTGACTCAACTGGTATTTGTCTCAGTTATTGGGGTTTATTTTAAGAATAATTGGTAAGCTATTTGTTAGCAATAACTCAATTGTATTTGTATGCTAGTCGTCTCACAGGTTGACATTGCCCAGGCTTGTGGTGATGTTTCCTGAGAAAAAAACAGATGGCAGGATTTACATGTGGGATGAGTTGGCAAGTTGCCTTCACTAAATTCCACAAGCTGGGGCAAAACCGAGGCGCAGTTCTGTCCCCAAGTAAACAAACTTGCATATTTATTCTTAATGATAATTTGCAAATGTGTTTCCAGAGACATGGTGCTTTCAAGTAAGCATTGAGTTTGGTTATGTTTTTGGAGCAACTTGATGCTTATATTTGCTAAATATGCAAAAAAGTTGTCATTGGTATGGTTCATTGGAAATCATCTGCCAAAAGTACAACTGTTCCAGGAATTTAGTCGGTGATATCTTTACAGCCTTGTAAATATATGCAAACATCCACTGGTTTTATAGATGTGATAAAGAGGACATCAATATGAAAAAGTTTTAATGCTAGTTTGAGATGAATGAGTAGTATGAAAGCCATCAAGCAATGTTAAGATTATACTGGATTTCATCATGGCTCCCACCCCTATAGGCAAAGAGCAGCTTAAAATGTTGTAACATACATCTAAGTGTAATTGGTTGTCTCATGTTGCAGGTTCTGCTTTTTTTCTAATACTTAATCAGAAGAGTCACTCAAATTCCTCTGTTTCTCATCCCAGGTGTCACATGACTTTGCCATTAATTTCAACCCAGAGGATGACGAATGTGAAGGTAAGGGCAGGTTTTTTGTGACTTCCTGTAGAAATGTATCTACATGCAGATGTATATCTATGCAGATGATACAAGACTTGACCCCATCCAATTAAGAAAGCTTCTAAACTAGAGATGTAACTTGACAGTGTTTTAAAATAAAACATTTAATGAGGAAGTAGAGTATGGAGAAGATATAAGCAAGTGTAGATTGTATCACGCTGTTCTGCTCTTTTATTAGGAATCCAAGGAGTTGTTGAGGCTTACCAGAGCTGCCTTCCTAAGATCCAGTTGTATGGCCCAACAAACGTTTCTCCGATCATTAACAGGATAGCTAAACTGGCGGCAGGCGATGGCAACATTAAAGATGCTTCTGTGAGTCTTTTTTTTTAAGTCCTTAGAAATATATGGAAGTAATGTGGGTGCTCCAGTTGAGTTCTTTAAGGTGACAGACTGGTTCACCGTAATGATGCTGTGTGGTGGAGATGAAGAAGGAAACCTTTAAAGATTGAGTTATTATAATTGCAATTTCAAATTGGAGTAATTCAGGCTGTTTTGATTTTTCCCATATTTCCATTTCACTTTTTTTTTTGTGTGTGTTGGTAATTAATTAAAGAACAGCACACCATAAGATGTTTTTACGGTAATTCTTTATGCTAATGTGGAGAGTTTTCTTATTATACTTTACTATTACAATGATATTGTCATCGGTCCCACACTAATATGTACACCAGGCATTTGAAAATGAAGAAATATTTGATAGTATCAAAAACACTTAATTTCAGGAACAACTTTAAAAAAAGAAAAAAGAAATATAACAACGTTTTTTTATTGATTACCCCCATTATGATCAGAGTTAAAGATTTCCATGTTGTCAGTCAGAATTATTTCATTTCCATGTTGATGCCTGACTTTAAAACCAAACCAAAAGCAATTTCGAGCTCGCCAGTGCATCTGCCACATTTCAAATAAAAACAATTGCTTATTTACTTGTGAATTTCTCCCATTAACAGTTTTTATGTTGGCATCCATCCCCTGCTTCATTTGCAGATCAGTGTTCCTTCTTGCCACAGTATTAGTACTGTGTATTTTTTGTTTTTCACACCTCTCTGTTAAAAACATCCTCATCTTCGTTGAAATTAAATAGCAGGAGATGGATGTCGAAGGTTCAAACGCCCACTTTTATAGGAGCCCGTCCAAACCCTGATAAAGACACCCTGGGTTTGAAAACTGATAACCAATATCATGATGCAGTTTATCTATGAATGGAGTTTAATTATTTTGCAAAGCCAGCTCGTGTAAAAGAAGCCTGGTTGTTTTGCAGTTCTTCATAGTACCTAGTTGTTACTTTCTTTTTTTTCTTCCTTTCTGAAACATATTTGTGTTTGTGTTTTGTTTTTTGTCCAATATTGCTGTGTTTTGCACGTGATATTTACTTCTTAGAGGAGACTGGAAACTGATTACAAACACAAAGTCCTCTCTTAGATCACAGCACACGCTGAGACATCATGATCAAATGTTAAAATGTGCTGCAGCACTCGGGTTAATTGTTTCTAAAAAGCTCTGATGTTGTTACAGCGATATCACATCCTGCTCATACTTACGGATGGTGTGGTGACAGACATGGCTGACACGCGTGAAGCCATTGTGCGAGCCTCTTACCAGCCACTCTCCATCATCATTGTCGGTGTGGGAAATGCAGACTTCACAGACATGCAGATTTTGGATGGAGATGATGGAGTCCTGCGCTCACCAAAGGGAGAGCCCGTCCTCAGAGACATTGTTCAATTTGTGCCCTTCCGAGACTTCAAAACGGTCAGTGTTTTTCTCCATCTGTCAGTCATTACTTGTTGACTTTCACTTGTCTTTTCAGGCTCTCCACATTTAACCGCCGCGCCAAGGATGCTAATGAACACTAAATCTGTTTTTTCATCCTCGAGTCTTTATTCTGACTCGATATTTAAAAGAATAGAAACACATTTTCGGTAGTTTTGCCAGTGCTACAGATGGGCACACTTGACCAAAGGACATCGATAAATTCATTTGGACAAGAATGGGATCTCGATACTGCAATCAGCCACATTTCAGATGCACAATAATCTCTTAATATGTTGTGGATAAACAAGGCAAAGAGCATATTTTTTGCACTCAGATAAAATACTCATGGTTTGATAAACATTGGACACATTTTAAAAGATTTTTTTGTTACCAATTAACTAATTAATTAAAACAGATCACTTGGCTTAAGGCTCAGACTCTTGATTTCATTGAGCAGAACCTAGCTTTTAGGGGCTTAGATATAATTGAACAATATACTTTCGCTATTGAAAAGTATATAATTGCTTGCTCATAAGGAAAAGTTGAGATAGCACCCTAAAATAATTTGTTAGTTGAGACCTATTTCAATTTAGCACTTTTTTTTCTCAGTCTGTGGATGATTTATCAACTCATGGTGTTCCTGTTACTTGTCCGATAGATTTATTGTGTTTCTGCATCTTAATTTCAGTCTGTTACTTGTATTTAGAGTAAGAGTAACAGCTCCTTAACACAAATGGTATACTTTGACTAACCAACAAATCTTTAGAACGCATAATAAAAAATTCAAATGAGGAAAATCCCATCAGTTACATCTATATTCATGGCCAAGAAAAATAAAGCAAAGTGTTGGCAACGGCAACAATTTCTAAACCCACTTTAAGCCCATGGTCATTTGTGTTATTGCTAAACAAATACATTTTGTACAGCTAAGATTGTATGAACTATATTACACCGTTGTCATATTCTGCGGTATTTCCAATTATCATAAACTGTTCTGGGAGCTTGTTGTGCAGCTTTTTTTCCCCTGATATATTTTAAACTTTTCATCTAGCTGCATAATTAAACTAGACTAAAACATGATTCTAGTCATGTTTATATTTCTGGGCTATTTGTACAAAATTACACCATAATCCAATGCTTTATAAACTGTTTTTAATCTTAAACACAAAATGTACTTCTTAATTTTAAAACATTTAAACATTGAACTTTTTGGAGTGAAGGCAGGAGAGGCCTTTTCCAGGGTAATGCACAGCACAGTTATTTCCTCTAACAACTGACACTGACATACCTTTTTTAATTAGTCTGACTCAGTTGGAGCAGTATCTACAACACTCCCCCTGAGATTCATTGCAGTGTGCCCTGAGTCTCAGATTAAACCATATTTCACTGTTGCTTTGACAAGTCCAGGTGTTTTTCTGTCTCTGTTGCAGGCTTCTCCCTCAGCCCTGGCCAAGTGTGTTCTGGCAGAAGTGCCAGGTCAAGTGGTCGAGTACTTCAGCCACAAGGCCTATTCTCCCATGAGCCCAATGAGGGAATTACTGAGCCCTGTCCTCAGCCCAGTTGCCACCACCCCTACAGAATAACTGGTTTGCTGTGTTCTGACCAAGCTTTGACCGCAGCACCAGGCTGGGCGGACTGAGGGGAGAAGAGGATGCATGCCTCTCTACTTTGGACAAGGACTGAAGAGAAAATCCCTCTAAGTGTATCAATGCTTATCTATTTAATTTTTCACTCTAAGCAAAATGTTTACACAAGGACAGATTTACAAAGATCGTGGGTCATCTATCTGTGCTCAGTGTGGAGGGGGCACCTCCTCTGCAGCTGTGTGAACCGACCATTCTGCCATTTCAGCGCTATGACACCTGGAGGATCTTGTTTTTTTCCTCCAAATGTTTATGCATGCAGGCAAATCCTTCATCACTGATCTGCTGATTGGACGCATGCTCATTTATCCCTATTGCCCACAAAATTCAGTACCTCAGCTCCGACGGACAAGTTTTTATGTCATACGTTCACATTGTTTTGAAATGCAGTTCAGTCAGTATGTGATTGTTTGACTAATCAATTTAATCAACATAAATCAAATGACTGGAAATGTGGCAGTCTGTGTCTTAGAATTCTGATCACACTGACCTTCACTTACATGTCAGTGTCTGTCTAGCTGTAGGATTGGGATTATTTTGAATGATGTTTTTTATAAATACACAGACAATAATCTCAAATCCAACCACTGTAAATTAGCACTGGAAGACACTGGGAAGTTATATTTTTTCAAGAATAGGTATGTTTTACCTATTCTAGCTCATTACTCAATAGAACAAAAAATATATCAAATCAAAAACTGCTCTGAAATAAGAGTAAACCTCTTAATTACAACAAAATGATATGATTATGGAGACTGATGCTTAATATACACAGTCGAATGTGTGTAATTGAATGTGAGCAAAATGCTTATTCAAACAACACAAATCAATCAATACATAAGAGCTTAAGGTGAGAAAACAGCTGCACCTTGTATATAAGCTTTCAGATGTCACATCCTTACAGATGCTTGCTTTTAAACATTTTCAAAATTGCAACTGACAAAACACATTCAGCATTCTGCAGGTATTAGCTGTACCTGTAGCTCTCTCTATGCTTTTTCATTTCCAAACCAGAGCTAACATTCTGCCATACAGAAAATCTTCTTGCCAAGCTAGAAAGATGTTTTTCTGCAAGACGTGATTAATGATTACACTCAATTTCTGGTCTTTTGTCAAGTGGCTGTGGTGTAAGCTGTGAAAATTATGCTTAATGTCAGGTTATTTCCCTCTGAATAGTCCAGTGCTGCTGCCCTCTCTTAGCCAATCTCCATGCAGGTATATTCTTCACATTTCTGGTGTAAATTTAATTCTGTCCCTCTCTTTCTCTCCCTCTCTCTCTTACACACATATATATATATATATCTGTGTGTAAGAGAGAGTGGTGTCCTTTAGCTTCTTTCTGTATGCACTGCAATGTTTTAAGAGAGATTTAACTAATGAGAAATATAAACTAAAGCAAACAGAGGATCTCAGTTAAAGGTGGAACACAATTGGTGATATCTATTTTATCTATGTCTATCTTTTAAATTTTAATTACACATTCATGGGAATGATAATTACCCAGTTTATTACCATATGGAGAGTGTAAAACCTTTCCTACAACAGTTGGATAACAAGTTGTCGTTTAAAAGGCTGTTTTTCATTGTAAATACTTGTGTGAGTGGCAGCATTTAAACAGACCAGAAAAGAGAGATTATATCTTCAAGTTACAGGTAATTGCATTTTCAAGAAGTGTGGGAAGACTCAGCCGAAGCGGAGAATAAGACTTTAATAGACCATTTTCCCTGCACAGCTTTTAAAAAGACGTCTCCCTGACATTTAAACTTCATTCATCATTCATCAGGAAACTTGGCTCATCGAAACAAGATGTTTCCATTACATCATGAACATAATGTTTCTGGAATGCAGATTTCATCCAATTTATTTCTTTAATTTATTTTATTTCACATGCAAATGTTAAATGGATATTCTGAGGTGGTACAGTTGTGTGTGTGTGTGTGTGTGTGTGTGTATGTATATATGTGCTAATAAATTCAGCACGGAGGACGGCTTCTGTATCTACAGCTGAAATACGTCACAATTATTCTGCACAAGCAAGAATGTTTTTTTTGCCTTTGATATGTCTTTTAGAGCCATCCCACCTTTACCAAGAAACTTTTTATTTCTCAGTGCCCTAAAACAGAGCTGCTTCTGCTATCTGAACTCTTCTAAAGAGCAGCTATCAAGGATTCCTGTCCCTGCGGATCACAGGAGGCCTATTGATCCAACAGGCCTACATTTGAAAACATGCCCAGTTACGCAAACGTATTGGTCTTATAGCTGAAGCTCAGCTCCATCTCACTAGTCTAAAGTGGAAGAATGATGTAGAAATGACAAATTATTCTGATGGAATTTAGAGTGTAATTTGTGCAAAATGTACTATTTATTGCAGAACTTAATCTTTTCTGAATTATCATGATACATTTCCGAAGTGATTCAGCATTACTGCCACTTTTTGTGAATAATAGGTTCTTTCACTCTAAATTAATTACAATGTAAATGCCTTTTTCTGATGAGAATCACATTGGCAAAAAGGCATTTTCAAAGCATTTAACTAACAAACCAGCCTTGTGCTTTCACTTAACATTTTCATAGGTGTTCATTCTGACTAAATAATGCAGTGGAAATATTAACCATTGTTTCTGTTCCTTGGGGGCAAACTGGCTTGCATATTAATGTTTAAAAGGTGTCAGCTCTCCATCTATGATTAGTTTCTTGAATGCCAGTAAACTCTTATGCCCTATTACTAATATTGCATTTTTGCTTAGCCTCAAGCCATGAGCTACAGCAGCTCAGATGCTTCATTAGTGTTTACTGTTAATATTCCTCTGTGATGTGAATTGATGGACCAACCATTACTCTACACATCGCTTGCATCATACAAAAGGGATTATAAAAAAAATGAAATAATTCCCTCCCCTTCTTAAGCATTGATATAGTACAGTGAACCATGGGCGTTTGTTTTGCCGCTCTGAAGTACACTGAATTACAAAATGCAAACCTATCAAACACTGCATCTTATCTGAATGTGTCATCATATTTGCTTCAAATAGCCCCCAGGTCAATTGAATTCTGTATTGTCTTCATTAACAGTTACAGCCAGTTACTTTGGCTTCCTTAATCATGCCTCAAGTTCTAATAATTTCATATTCATTGCTAATATGTTGCTCATTATATCCTGTAGGCTCAAAACATCTTCAGAAGGAAATCTCTATTTTTATGTTTTTTGGGTCATAGCAGTGCAAGTAACAGTGGGCTGAAACACTACAGAAAGCTAAGTCTACAGTTCACGAAGACATCTTGCTCCACAGATTAAACTAAGCTGGGAGGAATCCATTGAGCTGCTTATTGTCCCTTATCTGCACCTGCACCATTGACGGGCAAAAATGAACAATTCATAGATTTCCTACTATGTCAATATACATGCGGTTACTCATGCACACACATTCACACAAACCCACTTTCTCGCTGCCTTTCTCTATCTCTCACTTTCTCCTTTTCATTGATAACCAGAATATGGTTTGCAGCCCTTTCACGCAAATGGTGTAACTGCAGGCTCTATGGGAAACAAGAACCCCGTAGATCTTTTGATTTCTGCAAAAAAGGAAAAGGGATTTATTGCATGCTTACTTTTACTGTTAAGCCGTGCTGTGCTGTCACTCCTTTGGATTTTATGATATGCTAATATGCAAGCCTGAATATGCACAAACCTCTGCTCCTGTGGTTTACGCTCTCTGTCTTGCTGTTGGATAAATAAAACTCTTCATTTATCTGAAACCGTCTGTTTGATTGTTTACTCATAAAGCACAAGCATTTTGTTACAGAGGAACAATAAACTTTTTTTTCCTCTCATACGTCAGTGATGAGCTCACAGAACACCAACCACACACAGCTGCACAGAAACAGACAAATGAGAAAGTCTTATTGAAATATCAGTAATGCTATCATGCGCACATTTACATTGTGCTCCTTGCAGATTCTGTACGTACTTTGCATGGAAAGAGCACAAGAGGACTGAGCCTACTCTTTAATTCCATCAGACACTTCCTTTCATTTAACAGCTATTGTTAAGAGCGCTGAATAACGGTTGTTTCCATGGTGACACCTACTTGTGAGAAGACATAGACCTTCATTTTTGTTTGAGGACCCAAGGAGGAGGTCACCCGCACATCATTATGAAGAGAGGGGGTTTTGATTGTGTTGGCTGCTGCCTTTGGTGAGGCCACTGGATGTCCAAAGGGGCAGTGAGCCTCAGGTGATCTCTTTGTTCCGTACAGGCAGGTCATCTTTTTCTTCAGAAAGCAGTCTTCTACCCAAGTAATCTGATTTATGGTTCCAATTCAAAATCCTCCACCTGCTATTAACCACCGCAAATAACGTCAAAAGCCAGCTTACATCCAAAGTGCTACTGTCGAGTGGAATCACCCTGCATGTTATCATGTTATCTGATTTTATCTAACATTTAATGGCTGTAAACTCACCAGGGCTTCCCCAGCGGTGGTACGACTGGAGAGGGGGAATCAGAGGTTGTATTCTGAGTTTCTGTAATGAGGTAATGACTAATACGGGATGGAGAGTGCGATATCTCGGTGGTAATTATCCAGATCCCTTTTCCCCTGTAGGAACTTTACACACCTTTGAAACCCTTCCAGTCAGCTCTTCAGATGTTGCTGCTATATATAATTCTATTCCTCAGCGACTGCGTGCATACATTAGGCTTTACATACATGCACAATGGCGCAGATACACACAAGCACAAACAGTTGAAAGTAGCACACATGATTAAGTTATGCTTTTATGGAGCACGAGAAACAAATTCAGAATTCATCATAATATAATATTAGCATCCCCAGTGACCTGAAATTATCTTCTTGGTCGGTCATGCATGTGGCAGCTTGTCAGCAAAGGAGTCATGTGAAATCAATATTTCCACATCGGATAATGAAAAAGCAGACATAGCTCCACAGTTGTAGTTTTTCTTTAGTTAAATTGATGTTGGAGAAACTCGCTCCTGTCACCTTGACTTGGGATTGGTTTGCTATCTCACTTTACAGTTCCCTCCTGTGCCTCACTGACATGTTTCTCCACTCATTTAGATTTCTACATTCATTATGCGATTCAACACTGAATGGGATAAAAAAAGAAAAGAAATAATCCCTCATTAAAAGCGTTCGTTGTAAGTTGCAGGACTACACATCATCAATTTTTCCAGCTGTGTGCTTGAGATAAATGTTGATTTCAGTGAGCCAGATTGGTTGCATATTATCATTTTTATTAATATCGTTTGTTTTTTCCCGGGAGAAATGTTTGCTGCCTTGGAGCAAGGGATGACACAATGACATCAAATCTTAGCTGTTCTTTTTGTTGATCAATCGAAATTAGCATCACCAATCTTTTATTTTTAAAAACATTGTTGCATAATGTGCACTGGGAGGGGCTGTTCTATACAATGTACGGCTAATTGAATGAGACAAAGTGACGGAAATGCTTAGAAAGCTGTTCTATTCCCACTATTTTTAAAGCACATTGTTGCTCTGGTTGATTGTTTGTGGTCTGGGATATCAAGGGTATTAGAGTTGTACCTTCCATCTGGGTATTTAGAAATTCTGGCTGCAGAGCTCAAATGGAGTCCACCATATGTCCATAGTTTGTTTACAGGCCATGCTCCCATTCTGTCATGCGATGCTCTGCAAGAAACAAATAGGCTTCTAAAGACTGTTGGCTCATTTCAGACGTAACCATGGTCTTCTCGCCCTGTAAGGTTTTGCTATTTGATAACGTTCGAGACTAAATCAAATCAATATAAGTTCAGTTGCTTCCTATTGCTGGTTTAATCAAGCCAAAAATTGAAAATGTTGCTTAGCTCATTGCCTAAAAAAAGTTTTGGAATATCAAAGTTTCTACAAACAGTCAGAGTAGATACTCATAAGGACAGAGGATATTTTTATTATTCTTTGTTCATATTCAGGTGTAGCTCATTGGCTCTTTCTCCCATCCACAGTCTCTGACACCCACAGACATTTAGTGATTTAATTAAGTTCCAGAGTGCCTGGTTGACCAGCTGCACTGAATTTGACTCCACACAGCTTTGCTTCATCCCCGCTTCATAGACCCCCTTTCCTCACTGATCATTTAATTGCGATTTTCTTGCCTTTAAATTGTAAATGAGTCGCACAAATTTGACATCTTCAGTTTTATGTTTAACTTTAACCACATTTCGTATTCACCCACACACCCATATGACACATTTTGTTTAAGTGAGTAATTAGAGTGGTTAAGAGTCTGAATACCAAGCTTAGGGTGCATTGAATGATGCCCAATATTTGTTCATACTTGTCAACACAACCTTCTGTTCAAATTAATCTAAAATTACAGTCTGTGCTTTGGAAAAATGATATCTGGATACTTAGTTAATAAAGAAACATAGTTAAGTGTTTATTTCCACAGTTTTGCCATTTAGGTGTAAAGTTCATCTGACATTTCTGCTCCATTTGAAGCTGATGATTCCTTTAGCAAGATAGAGAGACCAGCATCCAATTCCACGAAAAAACAGAAAATAAATGTTTTTCCTATGCTTTCCCTTTTGTCATTCTGGGGCAGATCTGCTCTGAAAGAAAAATAAATACAACCTCTGATAGTTCCAATCTTGCCCTCTAAATGCTGCAAACATCACAAGGTGAGTTCAGGCAAGCAACAACTTTACACCTTTTTGTTTAGGCACAGAAAGTGGTGCTGCCACTTCGTGTTTTTTGAAAAACAAACTGTGTATAATATGTTGGATTAAAATCTACAATTATGTTTCTCTGATCTAAATCACAGATTATCCAGAGCAAATCATCAGCAATAAAAACAGTGACAAGAATTGTAATGCCACGATTTTAAACCCAGAAGAACATGTCGCCTTCAACCAGAGCTTGATACAGTCATTAATTGGTTCTGTCTCAGTGGGCTGCATATTCTGTTAATTTCAAGATGATGTTCCCTGGATGACAACCATCTGCTAGGACAGAACAACATCAAGCTACCCACTCCATTTATCATCTGCAGGGTAAAAGGTAGGTGGGTAGTGGTCTGGATGTTTGTAGTGCAACGTACCGAAACAGAGGACCCAGAATTAGCCAGACAAGAGCGGGGTCAGAACCGTGGTGGTCTAGACGGGCAGGATGGTCAGGAGGAATAACCAGAGTCCGAAAGCAGATCCAGAGCCAGGTGGTCAGAGATCCACGGAAAATCCAAAGCAGAATCCGGGAGCACAGTCAGGGCACAGAAACAGGTCAAAGATCCAGACGGCACAAAAACAAGGTCCGACAAGGGTTAGGCAGGCTCAGAGAATTCAGAGGGCAGAAACAGGTCACAGGCAGGCAAACCGGCTTCAGGAACGCTGGATAAACTCACTGGTGGCTCGTAATAATCTGGCACGAGTGGCTGGTCTGAGAGCTGGTTATATAGTCAGAGGCGCAGGTGGATCTGGTGAAGGCTGATGAGAACGGAGCTGCACAGGTGTGTGGAATGGTGGATCAGACCAGCACTAGTGCCAAGATCATGACATCTAGTTATTGTTGCTGTCTCATTGCAATTTGTCCACTATTCAGAACCAAATCTGAGACACTGTTTGCGTCAAGATGAGAAAATATTTTGTGATAATAACGTACCCACTAGAAAAAGTGTCCCACCTTTTTTTTTCTCAGGAGGGCTGGAACTGTTGTGGTCTTGTCAAGAGAGTGTAAACCTGTTCTCTGCCCACGTCATGCTCCAGATACTGACTGTTTGCTGTCAGCCACCACTACCCCCACTACCTCCATTATACTAGGACTTCATTCCCTGCACGCTATCCCACACAGAATGGTTCCGACACATCCTTTTTGCACCACAAACCGGATGGTGTTACACTAAGTGCTGGGGGACTTGTCTCCGTCAAAACTTGTCTCCTGTTTTTCTTTGGAGAATTTGTTCAGACAAACACTGTGTGCTTTTTAAATTTATGTAACGGGATGGGTGAACACAATTTTAGGAACCCTTTCGGCCTTTTCTTGGAATATAGCTTTGCAGGTTGGTGTCCTGCATCCCGTTGAATTAGTGTTTTTTGTTGCTGCCCTCCTCCTGGGTGTCAGCATACTACCACATAAAAAAGAGAGTAATTAGCCAATGGACAGCAGTTGCACCAAATTTATGTACTTTCTTTTTTTAGGGGGGTGTAGTGACCTAAAGATTACATTTAACATCTGCATATTTACAATAGTGAAGGCTTAAGTCCCAAAACAATATCAAGGAATGTATAACTGGTTTGGGGATTTTTTTTGTTTGTTTTTCATATATAACTCTTTTCATGTATAACCTATAAATTTTGTCTTTACAGAACTTTGGACCAATTCTTTATCCTGACAAGTGCGTGTACTCAACAAGTCCCCCGAAGGCTATGTTAATAAAGCGACATGCCAAGAGTTCAGTTTGGTAAGGCAATGTGTCGATTCAAAGTAAAGTGAAGCAATATATGGGTTATTATCTCACCTTTATATTTGATATCTGAACACTATGTGCTTAGTGATACATCATTCCTGTTATTGGACCTTTAAGGGAGGAAGTAATTACTCATCAATTTTTTAAAAGTCGATAAAAGGTTTTTCAAATCTTCATAATGCAACAAATTGTCATAGTTTAAGCTCCTGATTCTAAGAAGAAGAAGAAGTTCAGGGAGATGTTGCAGTTAGAAAAGCAATATATCTACAAACATAATCCTTAACAGGTTTACATGAACATAA